AGCTGAAGAGCTTTAGATGTTTATCTGTGCTCAGCAGAGGGTAAGTCTACATTGTGGCTGCAGGGTAGCTATACACAGCACACAACGTAGCCAAGGGGTGAATAAGACTCATATTTTCATTAACACTGAGAAGTTAAACACAAATTTGGATGGCTTAACTTTGTTTTCTTTTTAGACTATATAATTTGTATCACTGATGGTCTTAATACAATGTTCTTACTCTTGCCTGTTTTGACTGTTTTAATCCTAGAAGAACAATAGTGGATCAGACATACTGTAAAATCAATCTGGTCCAAAAGAATTATAAATAGCTGGGAAAGATTCAGTGTACAAAAGAATGCACCAGATAGTCTTAATACTTCATTATACAAAGTTCACTTGTTATGAAGCAAATAGAGAAAAAAAGTCACCACCCAGATTTTGTAGTTTTCCACAAAGTTCTAATAAGAACTGTGATATAGGGGACAATAACTTATTATTTGTCATAGTAATTTGTTAAAGTGCTATGAACTTAAGACATTTTGGGCAGGGCACAAAGAATGGAAAATCTTAGCTAAATGAAATAATTATCTCCTTTCATATCACTTACTGCGTGAACATTTCCGTAACAACTCTAGAAGCTTGTTGTAGTGAATCTAACCAGTTGCGGGACCAGGTGTGTGTCATGGGACATGCAGCCGTAAAAGAACTGTTAAGACTGCTAGTAGCATAATCAGCTGTGCAGGTTTCAGGCTTCTAGAAAGAAGTATAAAAAGGAGAGACCCATTCAGCTGACAGCTGGTGGGGAGGGAGACAGCAGAACTTGTTTTACTTACTGTGCAAATGTAAACTTCTTACTACAGACTTCCCATGGGAAGGAGGCCCTTATGTGGAAAGACTACCTTCTTTGCCTGATTTAACCCAGGCTTTTCCAAATAGCAGTGATCCGTAAATATCTATCTATCTCAGGCTCCGAGAGCACTGAGGCAGTAGGAACTGCTGAGAAGTATCCCCAGAAGAGCAAAAAAAGTCTGGTCCTAAGGGTCCAGGATGCACAATCCACTAACGAATGGAGCTTTATGCAATTCCAGGTGAAATTTAATTACATTAAAGGAGAGCAAATCACTGACTCAATTACATAGCCCACCTATGGCTGAAAACAAGGACTGGATGCAACCTCTGTACAGCTGTCTGCTGTGAGGTGCGTGTGTATCCTTTGTTTTCAGTTTGATTTTCAGGTATGTCAGAATGACTGGAATAATCACAACCTAGCCAAAGGGCTAGATCACCTGAAGACCTGGTTTCAGGGTTGGCAAATTGGCCCAGAGACAACAAGGACAATAGCTCTGTAAGCAGCAAGAGAACTGAAGACTGGTTTCCTCTGAAATTTACCTACTGACTGACTGACTGACTCAAGCATATTATAGGAAGGCTGTAACATTAGTTTATTCCTTCTTGGACATCAAATAATCCATGTCAGATTCAGTAGTATTCTCTATCGTTTGGAAAAGTCTCTGTGCAGCTTGTCTAATTTTCTCTGTCTCAAAAGGATTTGCATCTTTCCCT